TCCTTTATTCTATTACTAATTATAAAATGTAAGAGATAAGCAGAGGTAGTGCATTTTCATTTGCACATTAGTTGTATCTTATATGAACTAAGTATGACTTTATAATTGTCTTTGTTTAAAAAGACTTGGATAGGTGCAAACCAACAAAAGATAGACTGTGGTGATGAGGGAATGTGCCAATGTGACTGGGCCATGATTCCCAGGGGTCCTGCAGAAATTCTATTATATTCCTCCATTTTGGGATCTAGTATTAGAGTCGACTAGTTGCAAGGAAAGGTTTCCTGGTGGGATTCTGGCAAAGTTTTCTGTCTTGTTATTGCACTGATTTATCCTTTTGGGAAATGAGCCAGCATCCTGTCATGCACCCTGATGATTTTAGGATGTGACAGTTCCTGAGGCTTCATGAGTCAGCAGCCTGCCATCTTACTTGCCAATTTCGGGTTTGTCAGCCTCTGTAACTGTCTGAGTCAGAAGAAGCCTCCAGCCTGAAGCCTTATCTACAGATGTGAAATGCTGCAATTGCTACAACTCTGTGATCCATTTCTTTGAAATAAATTATCTATTATGCATCTTTCATCTATCTAGACACTTCAATAGCTTTACCCTCTAGAAAATATAACCTTTAATGTGCACCAGCTGTTTCTCTAAGTATTTTACTCCTCTAACAATGCAATTTTCATCCCATGTTACAGATTAAGTGACATGAGGCAGAGAGAGCGGAAATCACCTAGTAGTAGGTTAGGGTAGGAATTATGACTGGCAGTCCGGGTCCCTAGTGGGTGATTATTTTTCTCTCCCTTAAGCTAAAAGTTGCTCCACACTCTACTTTCTCCCTTTATAGCTCTGGTGGTGCACTGGTTAAGATATCAGTTCCTAATCAAAAGGTTAACATTTAAACTTACTGCCACCTCTGTGGGAAAAACACGTTTGTGTTCATGAAGATCGCAGTCTTGGAAACTCTATGGAGAATGTAAACACTTCCTGTAAGGTTGCTATGAGTAGAAATAAGCTTGACAGTAAGATTTGGTTTTCTTGGGGGGGGTGTTGTTGTTTGACATTTAGGGACATGACTGATAAGCTCATTTCTCGCTCTTACTGTGGCTCTCAGTTGGCTAGGCAAGGAGACTGACAAGCTAAATTTTGAAGATTTTTTTTTTTCTCTCCCTCATACCACTGTTTCTGCATTGGCACAGGCCAGGGAAGACTTCCAACTCTCAGATATGTTGCTTTTTTAGCTGGGAGAGTTTTGTTTTTCTTTTTTAAAAAAGACTTTCTTATATTTTGGGTGAAAATATGCACAGCAAAGCATACTGCCATTGCCTCATTTCTTCACATAATGTCTGGTGCCATTGGTTACACTCTTCATATAGTGTCAATATTATCATTAGTTTTGTTCTCATTCTTTCATTCCTATATTCTGACTGTCTCTTGACTTCTCATTTGTGCTTTAGAGTAGCTGTTGTCTATTTGGTCTCATTTAAAAAAAATCACAGTCATACAGGGTTTAAAGTGACATTTTATACTTTTGAGCTCAGCTGCTATTTAGTTAGAAGGTCTCTTTGCTTTGAGGTTATAAGAATATCTTGGGACAATAGTCTCAGTGACTCTTCTTGTCTAAATGGATCTGGCAAGTGTGGATTCTTTTAGAATCTGATACTCTTTTCCACATTTTTCTTCTTTTCTATCAGGATTCATCTTCTGTGGCACAGTTCTGAACATGTGGTAGTGGTAACTGGGCACCTTCTAGTTCTTTCTGTCTCAAGGTAGAGCCAGTGGTTAATGGAGACAGTCCTGCAGACTGGTTCCATTGAGGAGGCTTAGGTTTCTTCCTTTCTCTTAGCTGGGAGATCTTGAACAAATGGCTTAACTTCCATACATACATTCATTTTCTTTACTATAAAATGGGGATGGTAACAGCTCTCCAAGGTTCCTGAGGGGATGCAGAGATATCATAGGTAGAGTAGTTGGCAATTGAAGAGTACAACTAACGGATGCTTCCTTCCCCTCTCCCAGGGGAAGTGTTCCCAGGGAGGAGCACTTTAACAACAACAAACACACCATATGAATGAATAACTGGGGCACAGACCACCAGGAATCCCAGGCACACAGCCCCCTTATCCGTCCAGAGGATGACAATGGCTCAGCACTGGGGGTCCCTGGTTGGGGCCATCAATCAGGAGCAGGAGGGCGTGTGAAGTCATCTTTTCCCTAGGGGCTCCTTCCATAAGATCATAATACTTCGCCAAGCAGCTTCAAACAGAACCAGGAAGGGGCTTGGACAAAGGCCTTGAAAACCTAACAGATGAAAAGGAAATGTAATCACCATTCCCCAAAGAAAAAGCCCTTCCTTACTAATGTGGAATTGTTTCCATCAATCCACTGGCTTCAAGCCTTTTTCAGTTTTACCTGCTAACCAACCATGTAGCCAGGAGCTAGCCAGGTGATGTGAACCAAGAGCAAATCTGTGTGTAGCAGAATACAATGGTGAACTGTACTTCAGAGGTTCCTCAATGGCTGATGTTTCAGATGTGGTTCTTCCTAAGCCCCTGTGGGTGGATGTGAATCTCCACACACAGGGTCAGCAGCTGAGCGCTCTGACCGTGAGAACCACCCAGGCACTCCACCTGCTGCATGAAGCATGGAAAAATCACCTCCCCTAACTCCTAATCTCTTCCTGCATCCTTTACAGTCTGAAACCCACGGGAGAATCAGCTGTGAGTTGGTTTTGATGGGATTGGCAATGAATTATGTTGAAGCCGGGTTACTTTTCTTGCCTTCCTCTGAGGAAATGGGTACTTTTTGGATAAACGCCACTCTTTAGAAAGGCAGAAGGGGTGTGCTAATCCTAATGGGACAATGTCCTCTCACTTCCCTTCCTGAGTCCAGTGTTCGCACGCACCACTTTTGTTTGTACTGTGTTCAAACAAAATGACTAGATGACACAACCTTACCTGCTGAAAGTGAAGAGGATTTGAAGCACTTCACTTCTGCTGAAGATCAAAAACTGTAGCCTTCACTACGGATTATATCTCAAGTCTAAGAAAGCAAAAATCCTCACCACTGAACCAATAAATCATGATGTTATAAACCGTCAGTCGCTTGCGACTCCTAGCAACCCTATGTACAATAGCCCTAAACTCTGCTCTGTCCTGTGCCAATTGCACTCTCTCTGACACTCCCATCTCAATTATCCCAGTCACTGAATCAATCCACCTCATAGAGGGCCTTTCCCCTCCTGCGCTGTCCCTCCACCCTCCCAAGCCTGATGTCCCTCTCCAAGGACAGGTCCCTCCTTACAACATGTCCAAAGTATGTTAGACAGAGCCTCAGAATCCTTGCCTCCAAGGAGCCGCCCGGTTTAACCCTTTCCAGGATGAATCTGTTTGTTTTCTTAGCAGTCCATGGTATTCTTAATACTCTTCTTCAGCACCACAGCTCAAAGGCATCAATTCTCCTTCTATCCTCCCTAGTCAATACATCATGATAGATTGAGAAAAGACTGAAAAATGCCATTTTACTTGGACCTACAATCACCAACCAGGGAAACATCAACCAGGGTAACAGCAGTCAAGAAATCAAAAGGTTTATTACACTGGGAAAATCTGCTCTCAAGGATCTTTTCAAAGTGCTAAAAAGCATGAATACCAGTTTAAAAGACTTAGGGTTTGATTCAAGCCATGGCCTTTTTGGTCACTTCCTGTGCATCTGAAGGTGGACAATGAATAAGGACGACACAGAACTGATGTCTTGAGTGGTGGTGTTGGAGACGGCCGGAAATACCAACAAGTCTGCCCGGGAGGGAAGTATGACAGGGGTGCTCTGTAGAAGCAAGGATGGTGAAACTCGGTCTCACATATTTTAGGCATGTTATTAGGAGGACCAAGTCCTTGGGGAAAAAGACAACATGTTGGGAAAGGTGGAGGGTCAAATAAAGAGAAGATGGATGGACAAAGTGACTGAAGAATGGGCTTGGATATATCAGAGGTGCAGGACAGACGAAGTTTAGACCTGCTATTCATAGGATCACCGTGAGTCGTAGGGGATTGATGGCTGAGACATTTACCACCCTAGCTGCTGACAAACCTTTAAAGAGGATGAGGCTGAGTCCGTAGGCACGTGGACTGCCTCGCCTCAGGCACTGGAGGGTACAGATAATGGCCAATAAACAAGGCGAGGCTGTGACCTTTGGCCAGGCCACTGGGGGGAGGGGGGAGGTTCACGATTCCTCTTCTGGGTGACCCTGCCCAGACACGGGGTGCAAGCGTGTTCCCAGCGGTGGAGGCATCTGGGACCTGCCTGTGTGTTTTGATCTCTGATGAGCAAACTGCCATTTTACCCCAAGATCTCTTGAACCTCTTCAGGGCAAACGGGCAGTGTGTCCACAGGCTCCAAAGAACACACAGCTGAGCCGGAGAAAAGTATATTCAACAAGTGCTGGTGGAGGTGTGTGCTGAGCCGCTAGACTCTAGGAAAAAAAACCCTGGGAACTCTTTCAGGGGAACAGTTCAAATAATTCACAGC